TGAGATGTTGTCTGGTTTAATATCTCTGTGTAATATGCCATTCTCATGAAGATATTGAATTCCTCTTGCTCCATCTAAAATAATTTTAACACGAATTCTTGTTTCAACCTCATCCGACTTTTTATGTTTCAAAATATCATTTAAAGACCCAAACTGAGCATATTCGGTGACCATACACACTTTGTTTGGTATGAACACAGCGCCATAGAAGTGGACGATATAATCACTTCTAAATTTGTCCAACATGTTCACTTCATTTTCAAATTCTTGAAGTGACTTCTTTTCATCAGTGATTTCATTTGTTAAAGTGTTTGTTGATGCAATTTGTTTCATCTTTTTTATGGCTACTAAATTACCTTTGTAATTTCCCATATACACAATGCCAAATGATCCTTCGCCAAGTTTGGTGATCACATCAAGTTCTTTATAATTAAGTTTGGTCGTCTGTTGTGTTGTTGTGTCAATTCCTATTTTAGCGTTTACCACATTTCCTGTTGTTATATCAAGTGAAGTAACCATCACATTTTCTTCGATTTTACACGAACATAGTGGTTTTATAAATATTTCAAATTCACAAGCTTCGCCCCTTTTTAGTGTTATGATTGAAGGAACTGTGCGAATTTGGTAAGAATCACACCCTTCAATAACACTGAATTGTACTTTCATATTGCGTTTTGACTGATTGCCAATACATATCAAGTCTCTAGTCTCTTTGTCGACTGGAATGGGATTGTCGTTATTTAAATTGAATTTAATTGACTTCTTATTCGATAATAAAACAGAATTTATATTGTCCATGTCAATATTCGAACGCTTCATTTTAAACACACAAATGTTCTTCATTTTCATTTTTTCTTTTTTCTTTGTATTGATGAATAATACAACGACTAAAATAATTGCTATGAGTATGAAAAATACGATTAAAACAGCGACAGGTATTCCAATTACAACACCATAATTTGTAGTGTTTACACAACTCTCACCATCATCTGATGGTCTGTTACTGCCTTCACAAGCAACACATTGTGAGTTTTCTGCTTGGGTACAGTGTTCAATTGTGGTGTAATGGACACACCTTCCTCCAACCAAAACATGATCAGTTCGACACGTTTCACACGAGTCACCGTTTCGACATGTCAAGCAATCATTTTCACACACAAAACAACGACCGTTTTGTAAGTAGAAGGATTCTTCACATAGAACACACCCTTCTGATGTCGATTTTGTGCAATTGTTGAGTGTAGAATTCGATAAACACAATTTGGTCGACTCTGTAGATATTTTAAAGTACCCTTCTTTACACGACAAACACTCATCTTTCTTCACACATACATGACAAGAACTGTCACACTCGTTACAGTCTTTTTCGGTCTTGTAATATCCCATTTTGCATATTGCACATCCTATTCCAGAAGGCAAAGAAATTTCGCATCTTCTGGCCAAATTTCCAAGCGTCTGACACTTCATGAACAAGTCAAGAAAATGCTCAGAAGAACACGAAGTACAATATGAAGAATTGAAACAACTCAAACAGTCATTCAAACACTTCACGCAAAGAGTATTACTCAAAAAATAGCCATCATAACACCGTTGACATCCTTTGTTGTTTCTTATTTGACACTCAACCGTTTCTTGTGTTTTTAAGTCGCCTTTTAAACTATTAAACGCTTCAGTCTGGTTCTCTTCTTCAAATGTTTCATCGTCAAATGTTTCTGCACAAATTCCATTTTTGAGACTATATGCGTTGAGACATTCAATACACTTTAATTGATTTGGAGAGTAATATTTACAGCGTAATTTGGCTTCTGTTTTGGCACAAAACTCGTACTTTCCTTCAACATTTTTGCCGTCTATTTGGTAAAACTCTTCTTTACATTGTGTACAACCACTATGACTCGAACTCATGCAGTTCACCAATTCCTTTGCAACGCATTGGTTATCAGAATACATTAAATGATTTGCGGAACACATCTGGCACTTTCCACCAACACAAAGTGCACAATTATCATTCTTACACTTCGTGCACTTCCCTTTGGAAACCTCAAAGTTGTCATTATAACATTTGACACACTCGTTGTTTTTAATAGACGCACAATTTGTATCATCGGAACACAACGAATCTTTTAATGTGAAAATATAGTTTGGTTTACACAAAAGAGAAAGGGACAAATTGTTTATGTTGGTACATATCATGGTCTTTGAATCACAGTCTTGACATTTATTATCGACTGTAAGATATTTCCCAGTTTCACACATATAAACGATTTGATTTCTTATTACTTCATTTGTTGTTACACCAACACATTTCCCTTCGTTTAAGATATTATCATCTTCGCATGAAATGCAGCTGGTGCTTTGTTTGAAGGATTTTTGATATTTACATTTTGATAACATCTCCATGCACTTAGAATTTGTAGAAATTTGAGAGGAACAGTCACATGAAGTCAACGAGAGAGAAGAATCAGATTCACAATTTGAATCAACAACACAACTTCCATTTGATAGAAAAGCATCTTTACCACATTTGATACAGAAAGTATTGTTTGTTGGTGAATAACAACTGTTATTTGTGTTGATACACACACCATTTTGTTTATCATTAAGTTCCCCACTTCCACACCAGTCACACTTCCCATTTTTGATTGCAAAGGGATAAATACACTTGGTGCACTTCGCTTTTCCTACAGAAAGTGTGTCGCAAAGATTACACTTTTCAATGAAGTTGTAACACTCCCCACATTTGGTTTCACTCTCTTTGAAAAAGCCAATTGGGCAACTTTCACACATTCCATTCTTTTGAATGTAAGGATCTTGACATGTTAAACAATACATATTACTCGGAGAACACGTTTTACAGTTGTCTATCGTGTTACATTCAACACATTTATTTGAAGTGATGTCTGGGTAATAATTGGTGTTGCATAACGTACATTTACGAGTAAAATCTGAAGAACAAGATGAACAATTTGAATCAAAAGACGAACAAGTGGCACACTTCTTATCTTTTGGATCATTAAATATATGATTTGAAGAACATCCGGTGCAAATACCAGAAAATGTTTCACACTGCGAATCACATGTAGTATCACAACTTTTACACGCCCCACTTTGTTCATCTGGATACATCCCAGGCTTGCATTTTTTACACTTTCTTTCATCAGTTACACACTCCACACAGTTGATATCAAAGTCTGTACATATGATGCATTGAAGCGATGTTGTGATATTTGGAACATATCCAATTTTGCATCCAACACACATTCCAGTTATCGTGTCACA